GCCTCAACCTTGGCAGCTCAGGCTCCAGGAACGAGTACGCCAAGCAAGAAGCAGAAACTCTCAGTGCCTTAAGATGTGGGCTAGAAAGTGTCCCAGTGTCATTTCTGCCATATGGTCAAGCAGCCACAGAGCCTGTGAAGGGAGGAGTGACAAAGAATCTGAGCCACCGTTAATGTGCCAAAGTGGGGATAAAAATACTTACTCCCGGGGCTGTGAGGATTAATACATGCAGAGGCAAATTTACGTGAGACTAATGAAACTTCAACCACCAGGCTACTTAATTGCAGGGTCTCTTCCAAGTCCTAGCACCTAATTTTGTATTCCTAATTTTTCTTTTTCGTTTCTTAAAGAGGATGCCCACATTGTGTAAGAGTCACACCCTCCATCGCTGTGTTGAATGCATGTGAACATACTTAGCACAGTGCCCAGCACACAGGACAGACTCACTCCAGGGCCCCCACAGGCATTCCAGCTGCTGTCTGACCCCTATCTGCGCCCCAGGAAAGGTCTTCTCCTCTCACTCTGTCCTTTCCATTTGTTCAGGGTCATTTCTTCTTCTCCTTCTTAAAAAAACGAAAGTAAAACACGCTGAGAATAATTTCATAATCACAAAACTGCCCTCTTAATTGGCCCCTGCCTTTACCCCCCTGACCTCACCACCCATCGGGGAGGTGGGCTTTATCCTGGGCCTTGTGCCAGGTTCTTAGCTGGGCCCTCTAGAGTCTCCAAAGGAAATCAGGCTGAGGAGAGGGATACCAGCAGGGGGAGGCAGCATTCCCGGTGCCCAGCTTGGTCTTGGAGACATTGAAATTCCTGGGCCGAAATCCCGAGACAAAGATCATAATGAGACAGGAAGGTGGCATAGGAAGGAGCCCATTTGCATGACAATAATTGAGCCAAGAATAGAAAGCTAGAGGGATGCAAGGGTGAGGCTGGCAGCTGAGTTGGGCGAAACCTTACAAATCAGACTACCCAGCTCTGCTCTGCAGGGGAGGCGGGGGCTGAGCCATTGAGGGGAGGGAGGAGGGAAAGGGCATGGCCCCAGGGGATTGTGGGATCTCGGGTCAGGCTGGACTTTGCCTGCTCCTCCTCCCAAGCCTGGAGCCGGCCCCTGCAGCCGCCCCCACTTGCCTTTTCCTTTGTGAACTCTGGCTGGAGGGCTAAGTGGGCATCATGGCAGCTAAGGAGGATCTCTATGATGCCATTGTGGTTGGGGCAGGCATCCAGGGCTGTTTCACTGCTTATCACCTGGTCAAACATGGGAAGAGGGTCCTCTTGCTGGAGCAGGTAGGGTGTCCTCACTCCGCTCCTGATCATTGGGTTTTCAGAGCCAGCAGGCTGTGGGGCAAAGGCCAGAAACCTGAATCATCATGGATTGTGTGCAACTTGTAACTTCGCTGCTGGTGTTTCATGACAATGCAAAGAGTTCCATCTTCCCTAAGACTCTCATTTGGTTTCTAGATACATTTCTTCTTTTTAACCTCCCAAAGCCTGCCATTGGCCAACAAGTATTCCAGGTTCTCTTCTCGTCCTTCTTACCACCCAGTCTCTTTTAGACTAAAATGTTTGTTCCGGCCCAGAAAAATCATTGGCTCTGCGTGGGTAAATTTAAGTAAAGATAATTTTGCTTAGAGGTAAATACTGATGTGTCAGCCTAAAAGGTAGGATTCTTTCCTGCATATTCCTGGTCTTTTACCCTTAAACTCAGCTGAGGCTTCTGTTTTTTTCTGCCGACTCTGGATAATGGCAGCGTCCCTGCTTGATATACAGGAGATAAGATTTTGGCTTTATTCTTTCTTACAGGAAAGGTGACCCCATACAGTGCAGTCTGCAGTGACCACCACATATGCGGGTGGGTTCCACACATTCACAAGGTCCTTCTTAAGCCTCCCTGTCTACTTCTACCAAGTGTGTTTTGCTTAAAGCTCTCCTGGCTGGTTTGGGTTTACTCTTCTTGGTAAAAAGCTAAATTGGTTAAAAACCATTTTCATTCTTTATCAGTTTTCTCAAAGCCTGAGGGATTCCTGGTGCAATCTGGCAGGAAACTCCATCTTTTTCCTAAATCCTAAGGCAGCTCCCTTGTCCTGAGTGATCTGTGACAAATAGCCAGCATCTGCTTCCTTATGCATAAAATGAGGCGCTAGACTAGAGTGATGGGAAGATTCTTTGTAATTCTGTTTCTAAGTGGGATGAGGTTGCAAGAGGATGATTGAAGACTGACCAGCAGAAGGGCTTGTGGATGTGAATAGTATTAGTAAAGAGGATGCCTGAGTTAGCCCTACTCAGGGCTCCTATTCTGATAGCCAAATCAGCCAGTTGGCCAAATCAGCAAGGAGAATTTGGAGAGGTTTATGGAAATATTTGAAGAATAAATGGCTTCTGGCTGCCAACATTGTTAAGTTGGCTCTAGGCTCTGTGTGTGTGTGTTGGAGAGGGCAAAGGGTAACAGCTTCAGTTGTCTTTCTTCTTCTCCACTTCCAGTTCTTCCTACCACATTCCCGAGGAAGCTCCCATGGGCAGAGTCGGATAATCCGAAGGGCATACACGGAGGATTTTTACACCCAGATGATGGATGAGTGCTACCGGATGTGGGCCCAGCTGGAGCTCGAGACTGGAACCCAGTTACACAGGTGGAGGCGGGTCGGGAGGAGCCCTTGGGTCATTGGGTTTAGTACTTAGAGGTGCTTTTAGTTTTCACAGTGGAGAATTTGGTCCCCGGCCAGGGAGCTGACCCACATGACCTCTCCTGACATACCCGCTGCTCCCCTCAGCAGTGTACCTTGTTGATCTGCCTGTTCTGCTCCCCACTCTGTCTCTGGTGAATCCTCTCACCGCCCCTGCACCTCTGGCCTATGCCCCAGTTCTGTATGCACAAATAAACTTATAAAAAATGCAATGGTGGTGGTGGGGCACATGGGGTTAGGGAAGTGCCAGACACAGGAGGTATCCTGCTCACTGTCACTGTGATGACCCCACAAATCCCCCCCTGGCTCCTGTCAGGCTCTGAGTCCCGGGACTGGGCGCTTACCATGTGTCCATGGCTAGCAGAGGCTGTACTGGCAAATCTACTGGAAAGACATAATGGACAGATCCCCAGAGCTGGAGCTTTTCTCTACATCTCCACGGAGCCATCTGACATTCTTTTAGGGCAGGGATGGAGACAGAGGAGGAGGCTGCTGTCTCGATTGTTTATATTCCTACTAGTGTAGTAAGTAAACTTTCATGCTGGGTCCTCCCTCCCTGTAAATCCACTTTATGTTCTGAATAACTCCGCCCATTGGAACAAAAGGGATGCTCTTCAGGTGACATTGCTTGCCAGGGAAGTGAGCCTGTAGCTATTTTCTTGTCGTCCCCATGACTCTCTAGCCCTTGACAATCCCCTCTCACTGACCTCTCAAACACTTTCCGGGAAGAAGGCAGACAGGCCATGATGTAGACAGAACTTTAACCACCCACCCCACGACCCCTCCCACCTTCTCTGTGGCTCCTAACTGAACTTCCCACAAAACCACAGCTCTGCCCTACAGGGTGGCAGTTATTTTAATGACCAGGAACCAAGAGGTTACTGTTCTGTTGCAAAAACACCATTAACTTAAGAACAAAGTGAAATCCATTATGCAAATACAGCTAGGGCAGCTAATTACAGATTTATTCCAGAGGCAGCTAATACACCCGGCACCCACATAAAGGAGCATGTCTTGCTGAGGGGTGGCCTGGCAAAGGGACCCCTCTCTGTTAGCCATCTGTGAAATCTGCTGAGTATCTTGTGCTAAAAGAATTGCCAAAGCCTTGGAGGGTTTACTTCTTAGCAGACAAGGAGGTGACTAAGAGATGTTAGGAGAGTTTCCGGAATCTAGGAGAGGGAAAATGATTCTGGAGTCAGACAGGCTTGAATGTGACTCTACCTGTGACCAGCTGTGTGACCTGTTTCTGTACCTCTTTGTGCCTCATTTTTTTTTTCTCATGAGACATTGTAAGGATTAAACAAGATTAATGAAATATTGGCACAGTACTTGGCACCTTTTAATAAATGGCAGTTCCTGCTTCTTATCCTGGGTCAGCTGTCTCCTATTGTCCGTGGACTGGAGGAGAAAGGTCAGGAGGAGGTAGATAGGGTAGTAACCATGGACAACAGTGAAAGAGGCTCTGGGGTTCTTACACTCTCACAATCCTCCTCTTTGGCAGGAGGATAGCATTTGGAAGGACTTTGGAACCACTCAGGCCTGTTCTCCTCAACTTTGACACTCTTAAAAAGTACTTTTTTTTAAAAAAGGCTTACTTTATTTATTTAAGCATACAAGAGCTGGAGTGCAGGCCAGAGGTGTAGGGGGAGGGAGGATTCAACAGAGACAGTGTTCACCAGAGCAGAACAGGTGGATATACTGAAATACACTGCTGAGGGGAACAGCAAGCGAGACAGGAGAGGTCTGATGTGCCATGTGGGTCAGTTCCCTGACTGGGGATCGAACTTGGTGCTGAAGTGGCTGTGACAGCTTTATAGTGCTGAGACTAAACCCCTTGTGCCACTAGGGGGTCCCATCTCTAACTCTCTCAGTGATGTGATTTTGAACAAGCTGTTTAACTTCTGTGAGACTCAGTTTTCTCATCTGTAAAGTAGGGGTGATACTATCTGTTTCATGGGGCATTGTGAGCAGAAGTTAAGGCTTTAAAGTGGTAGCTGAAAAATTATCATCATCATCATTCACACAGATTGAGAGCTTGTAATAAGAAACTAGGGCTATTCTAAGTATTTGTTTTATGTTAACTGGGTTTATTCTCCCCCTCAACCTTGTCAGAGGGTTGCTACTGAGTAATTAGGATCTTTACCCATTAAAGCAAATCACAGCATTAATACACTCTTATAGTAGAAGAGGGGTTGTCAGACTTCTGTAAATGGACACATAGTAAGGCTTTGCAGGCCATATGGTCTCTGTTACAACTATTCAATCCTGCCAAAGACTCAACTCTGCCATTGTAGTATAAAAGTATAAACAAATGAATGTGGCTGTGTTCCAATAAAACTTTATTTATGGGCACTGAAATTTCATACAATCATCATTCCATAAAATAGTATTCTTCCTTTGCTTTTTATCCACAACCTAAAAATATGAAAACCATCCAGGCTTGTGTGCCAGACAATAGGTGGTAGCTCCATTTTGGTCCCCAGGCTGTAGTCATAACAGGGTGGTCTCCAGGAAAAGGGGAAGTTTCAGGTCCCCTGCCCCACACAAGAGAGGGCGGAGCTGAGCAGGGAGAAGAAACTGGAGAGGAGACTGAAGAGGAAAGAAGCAGGATGGAGGCCAGAAGGAGACCTGAGGAAGCCACATGGAGCAGCGAGCATGTGATGAAGAAACTGGGCTTGTTTCTTGGCCCTGGACTGGTTAAAAGAGATGTGGGTGAGGGACCCGTGGGGAGGTTGACTATGGCAGTGTTTATATTGATTTTGATTTTGCTCTTTTCCTCCCAGACTTATCTGGCTGTTTCTGACCCTTTTCTATGGGTCCCTATCAGAAGGTGCTTTTCACTTGGGGCTGGTTTTCGGAACTTACTTTTGGCCAATCCCATTTAAGTGGACTTTTACCCACGAGGGGATGGGTAACTTTGGGTGCTTTGTCTTTTCCGTATTGCACATTCATTGTATGAAAGTTCCTTTCCACTAAAGGTCTTATATGTTTAGTCTTGATGTGGTGAATGGTAGAGCCTATGTAGAGCAGGCAGGTTTGGGGGTTCTGGGGTGCCCTTCTCCCTGCCCAGTAACATCTCCAGACAAGTTCATGTCTAAACCATCCCTGGGAAAAAGACTGTTGTAGACATTTAAAGACAGGAATATGTCATAGCCCCTCTTCAAAGGCCATTCTGCTGCCTCACACCCCCAGTTATGAACAATGAAGAGTAAAGTGAATGTGCTTTGAAAAACTTTTAAAATTCTGTAGCTCCCTAAGAATGATGATATTATTAACAAGTCCTTTCATATGGATAATCTTATTTACTCAGGCACACTGATTTACTTGGTTCTTTTTCTTAGTACGGAGATAGAACATATATTTCCCATTCCAGCTCCTTTCGCTTTTGTCCCTAATTCTGTTTTCTAAATGATTCGTCATCTCATGTTTCTTGTATTCGTTGGTTCTTCTGGAAGAACCAGCACAATATCATAATCTAATGAGTAGATAGCGAGTGCGTTTACTGCATGCTATTTACTGATGATTTAAAAAAAAAATGCAAACACCTTCAGGAGTTGGTAGTTAAGATGGTTGTCCGACTCTTTATTCTGTTCTGCCATCGCCTGTGACCACAGCATACTAAACATGGGGCGGAGGTTAGAATATTTGCATATATTCTGGGAACAGGCAATGACACACGTGTCAGATCACAAGGTCTGAGTCTTTTGTGATGTGTACAGCCAGGACACAGATACCAACAGCGAATCCCAGCTCTGTGGCCCAGATCTTTCCTGCCCCTCCTTCTCCCTTTGAGTCCTACTATCTAGCTCCTGACCCCGGCTGCCCCTGCTTAGCTGACAATATCAGACAAGATCACAGCCGTAGGCAGTACAGCTGCTGGCAGAACCTGGTGGCCCCCTCCGCAGCTGCTGCTTCCTGTGTCTGCGAAGTGTCTGGCTTGTCAGCCACATCCCCTCCCTGGAGCAGTCTTTGTTAACCAATTCCACCTCAGCCCACTGGCCCACTGAAGGGAAGATGAAAGGGCATAGAGGTTCCTCCAAAACCAGCAACAAAGACAGCAGCCATAACCCAGTCCCCATTCGAGTCCCTTCCCAAGGTGACTGTGAGAGCCGTCTCGCCTGGCAGTTTTAATCCAGAGAGAGGAAAGCCAGAGTCTGGGGTGGTAGAGGGCAGAGCTGTCTCCTCCCCAGCCCTCTCTGCTCCATTGGGCCTGGGCCTCCACTCTGCTGTAGTAACTGGTGGAAATCTCCGCTCACTCACTCCCTATGTCAAGACAGAAGCTTTATTCGGGATAGAGGGAGTCAACAAGGCTCGGGGGAGGAATCTTCGATTTCATCTTTCCGGTGCTGGGTTGAGCTGGGGTGGGGAGAAAGGCGCAGCTCCTATCAGATGTTTTCCACTCAGCTGACACCTCTGGGAGATGAAGCAGTGCTCTTTCCAGGGTTCCTTGGCAACCCAGCCTGGCTTCAAGGTGTCTTCTTCCTAGGTGAGCCCTGAACACTCATTTCCTGGTTGTATTTTCCCCCTACAATACTCCTGCCCTTTTCCCTCTTCTCCCCAAACTTTGTAGCCTAGGCCAGAGCAGAAAAAGAGAAGGAGGCCCGGAGCACAGGGGTGAGAAATTGATGCAGAATGAGCAGCCTGTTTATTGGGATCTAGGAAAAGCCATTAAGAAAATAAGCACTTAAATGATTTTCAATCTGCCCATGGAAGTCATCTATCTTCATACTGTGGGGGAAAGGCCCCTTCTCCGATCCTGGTTTTGATTGACTGATTTCCAATTCTCTAAGCATTTCCCACAGGAGCCTCTCACCTATCTCCCATAATGACAGGCCTTTGCATTTCCAGGCAGTGTTTTACATTTATTTCCGATTTGCTCATAATGGTCAAAAATCTCTCTCCAATCCAAGGCATTTCTCCAGCAGTGCACGGTTTCCCTCAGGCCAAATAGCTCAGCTGTGATCCACGGAAAATGAGAATTTCCCAAACGCTTCTTCGGACTAGGGGAGGGTCCAGCATCACGAATTCAGATGGAAAATTTCCCACTGTTAGATCAATATCTGGGCTGAGAAATAAATGCCACAGGGGCAGAGAACTGGAGCAAAATGATTACAATCGGCACAATTACATTCACCGGCAGAATCAGCGTGCTGATTACTCCCAGGGATGGGGCGCTCTCGCTTCATCCACCACAGGACGACTTGGGAATTAGAACATCACTCAGCATTTCATAATTCGGCAGACTTACCCCTTGTCTTGGTGCAAGTCCATTTCCCCCCTACAGTACACTTCTGTAAGGGGAGCTCTTTTTTACAAGGAAAGAGGAAAGGAGAAAGAAGGAAAGGAGGAGAAAGAAAAAGTAAATCTCAGAATATATGAGACACCAAAGCTGGCACATTACAGGCAGGGCTTAGAATATGTTGCTCTGGAAATTCTGGTGCAAGGCTCGAACATTACGACTGCTGATCTAGGGGCTTAGTCAGGTCCTTGCCAAAATGCTACTCAGCCGCAACCCCACTGGGTAAAAAGGGGTGCAGAACAGGCACTTGGGTGACTTTTTAATTATCTAGTTGACCAAGACGTTTACTAGGCAGGTTTTCATTACTGGAGAACCAATGTGAAGTCCTTTTGGGGGCCTTGAGAAAAAGACTGCTTGATAGTGGGGATTTCTACAGCCTCTTCCTTCTGCTGAGCTTTGGCGAGGCGGGCAGAGGCGCTCGCCGCTGCCTTAGCCGTGCTGGATGATGGGTAGGCGGGGGCCATGGCAAATGCATTGGGCACGCTGCGCGGCTCTGTGTACTGACACCAGCCCCAGGGCCCGCTGTGTTCGCACCCCCTCCCAGTCTTTTCTTTAATCCCCCCAACCAGATAATGTGGGATTTGGAAGCATGTAATATCCATGAGACTCTATTATAGGCTATTACGAGCTTTAGACGCAGTACCTGGGGAAACTACCAGGCGGATGCTGGTCTCTGTGGCTGCCGAAACTGGGGGGGACCACAGGAATGGGCCCTGGGGACGGAGTGACCGTTCCACTGTTTAGATCCATTCCTACAAAGTGGAGTTCTGGTCTCTATGACAAAGAGGCAGAACATCTTAAAGAGAAACAGCTTAGGGAATAAGTATAGAGGGATATAGGAAGAGAAACAAAACCACAGTCTCACTGAACTACTTTCTGGAGCCTAGAGAGCATCTCCTGGTGTTTCTGCAGGAGGATGTTTTTGGTGCTTGGGTGGGACCTTTCTCAGCAAGCAGGTTCAGCAGCCCTGGAGTCTGCCTCCTTGGTGACCTCGGTGCATGAGGAAAACTAAAAAAAAATGGCCCATGCCATTTCCATGTGCCCTGGGTCAGGGCTGGTTCCCCCCTGGCTGGGGCCACCAGTAGACCAGCTGACATGTGTTAGAGGAATAACCTGGAGCAGTGAGGAGCCAGAGCAAGGTCACAGAGGTGATGCCAGATCTGTGAATTAGGACTCGGTTTAGAAAATGGCTGCTCCGAGAAGGAACTGAGAGACAGACACACAGGAAGGGACAGAACATTACATGATAAGAAAAGGGACAGGGGAAAGAAATAGCAGGGGGTGGGGTGGGAGAAATGAGGATTAAAGACGAGAGATCAAGATAGTGAGGGGAAGAAATCTTATCAAAATCATAGGACACCTTTCTAAGGCATGAAGATGAAAGTCAATTTAGGATTTCTGCCCTTGAGGGCAGGATGGATCCTGAAGATGGAGGCCTGAGGGACAAACAAATCCTAGGGAGAGCCAAGAGCTGATCTGGGAGTGAGAGTGACTGCAGAGCAGTTCAATTACACGGAGACTCCTCCGACAGAATCGGGACAACTTTCCTGTCCTGTGAGCCAGCGATTCTCCCAGAGCCTTGGTGAAGGAGAGCGGAGGCCCGCCCCCCGACACACACTCTCACCCTCATCCTGATGCTTTGGTTCATTTGTTTTGTTCCAGGAAGACTGGACTGCTTTTGCTGGGGATGGAGGACAATCCAGAATTAAAGACAATCCAGGCTATTCTGTCTCGCCAGCGGGTGGACTACCAGCATCTTGCTCCTGAGGAACTGAAGCAGCGGTTTCCCAACCTTCGGTTGACCAGGGGAGAAGTGGGGCTCTTGGAAGAGTCTGCAGGAGTCCTCTATGCGGACAAGGCCCTGAGAGCCCTCCAGGTGGTATCGTGTGGGACCAGCCCGTGGCTCCTGTCCTGGGTCCCAATGGCCATTGGATGAGACCCTTTACCTGTGGCTTTAGTACTGGCCTTTGAGGAGGTGCTTTTACATACCCTGCAAGGCCTTATCAACATGAGCCAGGAGGTCTAGGTTCTGCATCTCTTTTCTGTTCTAACTAAAGGACTCCGTTCTCCAGGGTGGTCATGTATTATTACTAATGCACTCTAATTTTAGGGTGCAATTCGACAGCAAGGAGGTACGGTGTGCGATGGAGAGAAGGTGATGGAAATAAACCCAGGGCTACCAGTCAGGGTGAAAACCACCTCCCGGAGCTACCAAGCCAAGAGCCTGATCATCACCGCAGGTCCTTGGACCAATAGGGTCCTCCGCCCCCTGGGAGTTGAGCTGCCTCTCCAGGTAAGGGAAGCTGGAGATCTGCAAATTGGTGATTAAGAGAAGAAATCTGGAAGCCATATAGACTCAGGTTTGTGTCCTGGACTTGCCACTTGCTGGTGGATGACCTTCAGCAAACTCATTCACCTCAGTGAGCCTGTTTTATACGGTGTAGAATGGCAAGTTGGGTTAGATTATATGATCAAGTCTTTGGGAGATTGTCTAGTCTATAGTAAGCTCTCAATAAATATGGGATTTTTTAACTCTTAGAGAGAGAGAGAGAGGGAAGAAGGGTTGGGAAGCAGATATGAGGGAAGACTGAGAATGGGGAAAAAGACAGGGACGAGAGAGTTTGTATCCTAAGTGTCCCAAGAGGATGTAACGTGTACATGACATGAGAATTGGATGAAACAACGATGGGTAGTTTAAGCAGGGCTTGTATTAAAGGGCCACAGAATCCCAAGAAGAAATTGCTCTCACTGTCTTAGCGTTCCCTGGCTTCCCAGTTTATCTCCTGCTTCCCCTCTCTCCCTGCTTCAAGACTCTGCGGATCAATGTGTGTTACTGGCAAGAGAAGGTTCCCGGAAGCTACGGTATGTCCCAGGCCTTTCCCTGCTTCCTGAGCCTGGACCTCAGCCTGGCTCCGCACCCCATCTACGGGCTGCCTTCCAGAGAGTATCCAGGACTGATGAAGGTGAGTGCCAAGGCATGGAGAAGGTTAGTAGAGGCCCAAGCAGATGTCGGGTCTCCGTTTGAACTCTCCACAGACTCCATAGATCCTGGGGGGTAGCTACCAGAGCCTCCTTCACCAATGGCTGTTTTCAGTGCAAATCTCCTGAGGGAGTTTCCAAGCCCAGCAACGGGAGCCTTTCCTTTGCAACATGGGGTGGGGGTGGGCTGCTAGGTCACCTCTTATGGCGACCATCAGCCTCTGTCCAGGTGGGGATGATGGATGGGGGCATTCTGTGTACAGACCTGTCTCCTGGGCTGGGTGGGGGTGCCAGCAGGCCAGCCCTGGCGGCTCACTCTACTCCGATGGGGAGCCAGGTCTGCTATCACCACGGCAACAACAGGGATCCTGAGGAGCGGGACTGCCCCACAGCGTTCTCAGACATCGAAGAAGTCCGAATCCTGAGCCGTTTTGTCAGAGATCACTTGTCCGACCTGGAGCCCGAGCCTGCCATCATGGAGCACTGCATGTACACGGTGAGGGCGTGGGCCGCCGCCAGCCTCCCACGGCCCTGGAGGACGTGGAAGGAGACAGGCCTTGTGCTGCTCAAGCTCTGTTTGACCCCGACATAGTCTGTGACTAGAAACCTGTATTTCTGTGGGTTGGTTCACCTCCACCAGAGAGGGGCCTAGGAGGGGCTATTCATATTCCTTTTCATTAGGAAACGAGGCTTATGCCTGGCAGTCTTCGCTATGTTTCCCAGAAGAGCTCTAAAAGATTTTTTGGCAAGATGCTTTAGTTGAGCAAGCCTTCGGGACTAAGAGAAGAGACAGATGTCATCGGGGCCTGAGGCGGCTAGACTAAAGTTAGTTTACATGCGTTAACTGAGCACCTACTGTGTTCATAGTACCAACGAGAGACGAGAGAGGCAGATGAACAAATGAGAGAGACCAGCATCCGGGAAGGTGCTCATCCCTGGGCTCTGTTCCCGTTCTTTCTGGAAACAAATCCAGCCCAGTCACCTCCCTTCTGAGTCTGCATTTCTGGTCCTCCCCCATCCTCAAAGGACACAGGTGTGTCTGTTTTCTTTTTTAGAACACTCCTGATGAGCACTTCATTCTCGACCGACACCCAAAATATGACAACATTGTCATTGGCGCTGGGTTCTCTGGTGAGTCCGACGAAGGGGAGATGGGGGCCTTCAAGTTGACTGATCTCAGTGCTGGGTATTTTCCATGCTCTTAGCTGACCTACTAGTTCTCAAAGCCATCGAATTTACAAGGCGGCTGGACAGGTGATGCAAGAAGGGATACTCATGACAGGAGACAACTTCTGGCTTGGGGATGCCACTCAGAGGAGGGTCAGTCTTCCCTGGGTCTATGTAGGTGCTTCACAGAGCCCAGCCCCTGCCTCTGAGGATGTCTGACAGCCCACTCTCCTTTCCTAGGACATGGATTCAAGCTGGCCCCAGTGGTGGGGAAGATCCTGTATGAATTAAGCATGAAATTAACACCTTCCTATGACTTGACACCTTTTCGAATCAGCCGCTTCCCTGACCTGGGCAAAGCCCGCCTTTGACCCCTGGCCAACAACCTCTGTTCTGTGCACCAGCGCCAGGAGTAAAACCCTCCATGGGAGAAGAGCACAAGGGACTGTGGTGATGGTTCGAGGTTGACTCAGCGGTGGGAATTTTACGGGTATACACAATGATGTAAGATATTTTAAAAAGTATTAAAAACAATAACAACGAACAACAACAAAGAAAGTCCTCCTTGGGGAAAGACTTCTCAGATGAAAGGAAGTGGCTGCGTGCGATGACATCCTGTTCTTCTGCCTCTGTTGAGCCCCTTATAAATACCAGATGATTGAATCTACCTTCTTTTCCTGGCCAGCTGCCCAATCATACTACCTTTTTTTTTCCTTTTCTTATTTTGCTTCCAGAAGGTCAATCAGATATTCTGTAATCACAGAGTAGCAAGGACCTCGGAGATGGATGTCTCAATAAGGAGGGGGCGTAAGGATGGCTCAGAGACCAAAGGAGTGGTCAAAACTCTCTTTGCTGGGACTTTTGATGAAGTGGGGATAGAGGTGACTGAGACTACCCAAGGGAGGGCAAACAAGATCATCCTGGTTTTCACTGCTCTCCTCTGAGTTTTTTTCCACCTCAAACGAAGTCACTCTCCGTCGCAACCTCCCATAAAACCTGCTCATCTTGGATGCACCATAAATGTTTATTAGGAAAAAGTGTTGAACAAACAAACAACTGCATTGCATCCAAGTCTGTGGTGGGCTTTATTTTCCATGTGACCTTGTTTCTTACGGACTTTAAGCATTGAAATCAGCAGCAGAAAAAAATCTATCAGCCCAGGGGTCCTGGAGGTCTTCATCCCCTCAATGTGCTGCACCTTTTCTCTGTAGCTTCTTTATCTGGGTTGCCTCCTTTCTCTGGTTCTGTAAAGATGCTCTGCTCCCCTGTCTCTCTCATTAAGGTGTATTGTCAGGTCCTTATGAAGATGGAGCTGTTATACCAGAAAGAAAGAGAGAGACAGACTCGCTTAGAAACCCTGTTCAATGTTTGAATGTTAAATGTGCCATTTTATTATCATTAGGATTGCTCCCACTTAATGAAACAGCATTAGCACCGAGTCGGCTGGCCTCCCTGCACTAATTGCTTTGAAGGCAGCGTGCTCATAACTGCCCCAGAGTGGGTGGATGGCGAGGGTATGAACAGGGGTTCGACAGGGCTGCGGGCGCTCAGATGGAACTCATGGAACTCCAGCTGGAAGCTCTCCAGGGCAGGCAGTGTGACCCCAGAGAAGGAACTTTAAAGCTCTGGGGAGTGGAGAACCTGACAGAGGAACAGGGGAAATGTGGGGAGGAGTCTCTTGGGGGGACAAGTGGGACATGAGGATAAGAGTCAGAGTGTGCCCAAAGGAAATGCCACGGAAAATCCCTCTTCAGCTGCCTTCTAGGTGGAGGCCCTGGATTCACACTGATTTCTACAGGGAATTATTAAAGCCAGCCAGTCCCTCACCCCCGTCTGTTTTTGGGTTCTCTTAGCTGGTTCTCTGAAATCCAGCCTCTGCAAAATGGGAATAATCATTGTTTCCTTCAAGTGGGCAAAATACTACTACATGCGTGAAGCTTGGAAACATGTTACTAAGTGAAATAAACCGGATAAGAAAGGACAACTGCTGTCTGATTCACTCATCTGAGGTACCTAGAGTAGTTAGCTTCATAGAAACAGAACACAGAAAGGTGATATTCAGGGGGTGAGGAGATGGTGATGGGAGTGAGCGTTTAAAGGGCACAGAGTTCCAGTTTGGGAAGATAAAGAGATCCCAGGATGGGTGGTGGTGCTGGTTGCATGGCGAGGGAACGCACTTAATGCTCTCAACTGAGCACTTGACCGTGGTTAATTAAAACAGCGCATTTATGTATATTTTACCACAGCCCCCAAAATGCAAATAATAATACTGCCCAACTTCACAGGAGTGTGTCAGAATCAAATAAGACAGCCCATTCATTTGTTCATTCATTCTTTCACTCCACATATATTTATGGAGCCTTTGTGACATGAGTGCCAGACACTGTGGATATACCATGAGCAAAACATCAAACCCTCTGCTCTTGTGGCATTTACAGTTCCAGTGAGAAGACACGTAAGCAATACTTGCAAGTAGATGAAACTGTGCACTAGAAGGTGACAAGTGCATTAGGGAAGCAGACCAGGGTGGGGAAGACAGAGAAAACTGGTAGAGGGGTCCCCCTTTAGATGGTGGTCAGACTGGGACATATCGAGGAGGGGGCATTTGGGCAGACTTGAGGGAGAGGAAGGGGGGTGTACTATGCCCAAATTGGACAGTATAGGGGAGAATGTGGTAAATTGTAAAGCAAGATGCTGTGTTATTATTGAGAGGGCGCAAAATAAGGTACAGAGAAGGATCTGTGTAACATCTGGCCAGCCCCAGGCTGGCAAAGTTGGAAAGAAAGGCAGTTGGGAATTTCTCTCTCATTCCAAATGTTCCCTCTACCTCTTTCCTCAATGCCGCCCTCCTCCCCCAGCCAGCTGCAGCTCCCCTTCCAAAATATCCAGTCTTATTCAGTCTGCTGGTGACAGCTAAGGGAGGAGACCAATATCTAGAGGAGGCTGAGAAAGGACAAGTGGGGGATGCTGACGAGCCCTGCCTGAGCCGGCTGCGCGGCCCTTTAAAATGAGCCGCTGTGTCCTAGAAACAGAGTGCCAGGAGGGGCAGGGCAGGGAGGGGCCTGGAGGGAAGGGCAGGGGTGTGTGGGAGGGACGGGTCAGGGGAGAGTGGAGAGGGACAGAACTGGATCGAGGAGCCTGGCCACGTGCAGCCCGAGAAGGCGCTCAAGGACCTGCAGGGACGCTGCTGTCCCCAACCCAAAGCCACAAGACTTGATCCATCTGGAATGGCTGGGGTGGGCGTTGGGGGTGGGCAGCGGAGCATTTCTTATTGGGCGTGGTGTGGGGCTCCAAAGGGAAGAGGAGATGAGAGAGTGAAGAGTTTCTGGACACGGAGGAGAGGAAAGGCCACTGTGGAAGGCAGAAGGGGCTGGAGGACAGCGGGAGAGTTTTGGTAACATTGACGGGTTTGCCAGAACGTACCTGCCAGAATTACCTCCCTGTCTCCCTCCTGTTTGAACGTGCGTGGCCAGGCATTCCCTTTCAGGCAGATCCTACGCATCCTCAAGATGGAAGGAAATCAAAATAAATCGGACAGGCAAGAGGAGACCTCTGGAAGGGCAGGGAGCTTCTGCACAGGCTGCTGTGGGGAGAGAAGGGCAGTGAAGAGAAAGAGGCCACTTGGTTGAAAACCAGACTAAGGAAAACAGAGGCAGGCTAAAAATAGATGGGGGGCGGGGAACAGTCCAGAAAAGAAGGAAAAGCAGAGGCAATCGATGCCAGTGCGACTCTGACCCAATTCTTCATCTTTCAGCCTCGCCAAACTCAAAAATCAGGTGAGGGGAGAAAGGAGAAGACCAGGGCAGAGCAGCGAGCAGAGTCAGGGGAAATAATCTGAGTCCTAAAATGCAGGCAATTGTGGGGTACAAATCAGCAGTCAGGCTATTTGTAAAAAGGAGGCTTTAGTGTTGTTAGTTCTAGTCACAGTACTAGTGTTGAACTCTCTCCAGAGTCTGTTAGCCCAGAAGAGGTGAGTATAACTCGGAAGCAGTTTCAACTCTCCAAAGGTGAAAAGGGGCCTCCCGACTGGAATGCTTGATTTGGAGATAGCAGACTGGACAGCGGCTCGATGCTGGGCTTGACACTCGGGAGAGTGAGTAAGGAGAATCTGGTCATTGCATATTCTATTTCAATGGTGGGTTCCCAGGGCAGCAGGAGGGATTTCAGTTAGACCTCACAGAATCCATCCCACTCAGGAGATTTGTGAGATATTGGACAGCTAGAGAAGCATTCTTTCCTTGGAAATCTTTTAAAAATGAGACACCCATCTGTTTCGGCCTGTGTAGGCTTGCCTGAAGGTCAGAACCTCCTCGCAAGCCCCGGGAAGACTTCTGGCTAGTGAGGAGATCCAGCATTTGTATTACTCTGGAGGTAGGTCTGAATCGGGTATCTGGACAGGCACCTAAGGAAGGGTTAATGTAAGCTGGGGGCAGGGAGGCACCAGCAGGCCGGTCTGTCAGGCGGGAGAAGCAGCGGGACAAGGGGCAGGATTCTGACACGGAGGACCCAGTGGCATTTACATAACTTTGAATAATGAATAAGCCCAGCTCTGGGGCTCCTAGTCAGCACGCTCATCTGCATCTTTATTAAGCTTTATAAATGATTCAGCTCCCTACCCCTTCCCCCTAGCCCCTGCCCGGCCTGCCCCAAGCATCAGGGTAGTTGATTGCTCATTATTTTTGACTAGATTTGTTTCACCAACATTCAGTGAGGCATGGAGTGGGGGACACAGGAGGGAGGAGCGAATCCAAAAGGCAGGCAGAGTGGAGGGGTTGGGAAGGAGTGGAGGAAGCAATCTTGAGAAGGCAGGCAAGGCTGGGCATAAGTCCCTGAAATGCTTCAGGAGCCAACATCTTAAGAAGGGAGAAACATTTCTTAGATGCTCTGAAATGTGCTGGGTTCGAGTCCCTTCTAGCCCTCAGCACCCCTGACAAACGCCTGCGGCTGGCCTGGCGCTCAGCTAGCACAGTGGTGCTGAGCCACTGAAGCAGCTGAGTGGTACAGCCTCCAGGGAAGTTCTCATTTTTTCCTGAGGCAGGAATTCTGCTATTTTCACGCAAAAAAAAAAAAAAAAATCTGCTATGCTTGCAAGGCCAGAACAAGCACCAGGCATATTAGAGGAGAAAGATTGGAATAGGAACACGTGGTATGTGAATTTGTTGGGAGAAGGAATGCTTGTGATCACAGAGGGTTGGCGCCCACCTATGGAGGAGCCTGGAGAAGATGGCAGCCTTTGACCTATAGACAAGGTTGGGGGCCACCCCTCTCTGAACGCTGCCTGGCCTAGTGGTGGGAGAGGGATTTATCAGCCAGGAAGAGGAGGAGTTGGCGGGAAACTGGTAGAGGGAAAGGTAGAGCATTTCTCAGCCCT